CTTTTCCCAGAGCGCTGAGGCTCAGTCAATATCTCCCTTCCATGGGGACGGGCAGGGCTGTGCTGGCACCGGGGCTGAGGACTGGCACAAAGCACAGGGTGGCTCTCAGTGGCCAGAGCCACCCAGGGATCAGCCCCAGGGTAGGGGGACAGGGAGGCAGCGCCCGAGGCTGGAGACAAGTGGCACTCACCTGCGCTCTGATGTCGTGGGGCTGCAGCAGGGGAGAAGGAAGGGAAAACCAAGAGTCAGTCCAGCAAAGGGGCAGCCCTGCTGTGCCCACCCTGCTCCCCAAGGCACCCAGAACATCCAGAGATGGGCACTGACCCTGACCCAGCAGATCCACCAGGGGAACCAGAACAGCCACACTAAACCAAGTAAACACAAAAATTCCCCTTCCCTTGCTCTCCCCACCCAGGTCCGAGGTGTCCCAGGGACCAGCAGCCTCCTGGACCCCACCTTGGCTGGGACCAGCAGCAGCCCCTTCCCAGCCCATGCCAGCAGCGTGCCCCTACCTCGGAGGTTGCGAACATGTGCGACTCCGTCCTGTAGATGCCGATGGGAATCTCGGCACTGGAGGAGCAGAGCTTCTGGAAGAGGCGGCCGTACGTCCGGATCCACAGGTCATCCTCGGTGATCTTCATCTGAGGAACAGAGGACAAACGTGAACCCCCACCTGCACCTCGGGCTGCTCCTTCACAGCCATCCCAAAAGTGAGCTGGACTCTACAAGAAAACCAGGGGCAATTTCTGACCTCAGCCTTCAAAACTGGGGGTTTGGTCCTTGGCAGCTCTGGGGTTTTTTGTAGCACTGAGGTTCCCCAAAATGGAGGGGAACAATGACCTGGCAATGCTGCTCCCCACCCCAGTCCTGCAGAAGAGGGGAACCCCCACCCCCTGCACAGGGTGACAGATGCCACCAGAGCCAGGACAGCCTGGCCTGATGGTTTCAGCCCAAGGGGACTCGGCACGTACCGCACAGAGGTACCCGGAGCCCGGCGTGGTGTCGAGGCCCAGCAGCAGCCGAGTGATGGTGATCATGTAATCCTTCACGAACGACTGGGGAGACATTTGGGCAGGAAACCAGGGAAAGGTTTGCTCAGATATTCCCTGGGGGCTGCAAAGGGGAGGCCACAGCTGCAGGGCTCCATCTCACCTGGTAGAGCAGCGTGTCCAACATGCTGATGCTGAAGACCCTCCCTGCTGCAAAGGGCAGCCGGAACATGAAGGCCAGGTTGGAGCCATTCTCTCGCTCTCTCTGCAAGAAGAAAGGGAACTTTGAGCTCAGACTGCACAGAAACTTAGAGGACTCATGGCAATGGGAGGGCACAGGTGTAATGTTTCTGATGGTTGTGGCAGTAGGAAACAAGGGCAGCATTTTTGCACTGTAGAAAAAGAGGATTTTTTTTTTTTTCTCCATGGAAATATGTGAGACATGATTGGGTTTTCTGGACATGGGAAAAGCACAGGACTTCGAGGAGCTCAAATGCAGTCAGTAACTGTCAGTATTGCCTTCCCAAGCCCCCGTGCCCTCCTCTTACCTTTTCTAGCTTGGAAAGGGCCAGAGAGTAACTGTCCTTTGCTCTGAACTGCATGAATCTCATGTTGGAGGGGTGGGTCAGCTCTGTGATAATGCTGAGGCTGGGGAAGAGCCTGCAATGGAAAGAGATCTGTTGTTCTGCAGCTCAGAGGATTTAAAGCCTGAGGAAGACCACAGTCATTCCTGTCCTGCCTGAGGTCAGAGACAGCTGATTGCATGCTGCTTCCTCCAGCAGCCCCAACCCCAGATGTGTCCCCCCGTCCGTAGCCACCACCCCAGGCACCAGCACCCTTCCTGGTCTCACCCCCAGCAGTGGTCAGCCCTCACCTGAACATGGTCTGGACGTTGACAATCGTCTTGGCATCGGCCATGTAGTCCTCCTCGGCACTCATGGTGCTCTCCTTGTCCAC